TGGAGGAAAATTATGTTTATGTAGTCCTGTATGTTTTTTTGTTTTTTTGCATATCATCTCCAAGACAGGTGGTATTCAGCTTTAAGTAAAAGAATGTTTTTGGATGTAAGAGACAGTCCCATTGTTCCTCCTTAACACAAAAAGACAAACTTGCTGTAATTCTTTCACCTAAGTCATAAATTGCAGAATATTTTAACCTGATGTGTTTTTCTGTGGTGACACAGGCAAACAGTAGGGGTTACCAAATTTGAATGCCATTTGTGCAACATTATGTAACTAAGCTCAGTCAGAAAACAACAGTTTGTTTGGTCATTTCTAAAGACAAAAACTAGGCAGCTTTACCATACTACCATACCCACTCTGCTAATGACAGTCAAATAGCTTTTTGTCAGAGGTGTAATAAAGACTTTATTAAACGTGTGATCTTTTTCTGCCTTGATTTTCATCATTGTCACTGTCACTGCCGAAATGAAATACTACATCAAACTGATATTTGTAATAACATAATGTATTTTTTGGAGAGTTGTTCCTGTTATGTCAACACATAAAATAAAATGTTTGAATGAATGACCTTTAAACATGCTGTTTTCCTGTATCTTCCAGAGGCTCCTTATCTTGGAGTCCAGAAACAGGGCAGCCTGTACCTTCAGTGAGGCAGTTGAGCCTATTATTGGGACTTTGGTCACATCTGCAGTATGGTGGCTACAGCTGAGCAGGAAATGGAGATAAACTAAAATCCATGTATGTTTTTTTCTTTTCATTTTAATAGTAAAACCGTTTTTTCAGCATTGTGAGAAACTTTTTCTCTGTGACTATCGACGTATAATTGAACAAATCCTTATACTGTGGTGCTTTTTTGCTTATATATGAAAAATACTTTAAAGTCATGCCAAGCAAAGCACTGAAAAAACAACTGTGTTGCCCACGCCTGTGAACTCCTACCAAGAATTCTGTTTTTGTCCTTTCTTTCTCACTGTCTTCGCCAGCATGTAACAAGAAATCCAAATACACCAGATATATCGGCACGTGTTAAAAGCACATGTATTCAAATCTAATTCAAATTATTCAGAATAGAAGAACAGGAGGGTTTGTGTTTTTGCATGTGTAAAACCAAGGTCTGCGAGGCATTTTGATCAAAAGAGACCTTGTTATAACAAAAAAGTTGTGGATAATGTGAATTGTTGTGGTATCAAATCATCTGCTCTGACGCACAAACTATTGTTTTGTTTTTGTTTGATAGTTTGTATTCAAGGAATTAGTAGTCTCTCACCCTGTTTACATCTTTTGTCATATCGAACCTCTAGCAGATGTGTAGCATAAACCACACAATGTGAGCTTCATCGTAGTCAGACAGCAATATATTCACAATTATTTATGAGGACACAGGAAGCAAAGGAATCTAATCACCTGTTGACTGTAGTCAAACCTCCTGAGGCGGAATATCAAATAAGGGACATATGTTTATCGGCTACAAGACTTAATCTGCTGCAAAGGCCTTGTATTCTGCATAGGTATGTATGTAGATACATGTAACTATCAGACAGTGAAAAATTTTTATTCAAATAAGCACAAAAAAGCACACGTCTTCCCTTGTTCACATTACAAGCAGCTTATCTGTGTCTGTAAATTATCTCAAAATAAGTGCATCTAAAAAGTCACATTCTTTTCTTTTCTGTTCACTTCTTTTCCCTTGAAATGTAGTCTGTTCAACAATGATGCTATTTATCTGTGGGATAATTAGCTATTTCTAACCAAGAACAATAATTGTCTTTCTGCCTGTCAAAGCATGAGAAATATGATGGTACATCACAGAAGAGCTAGAACCAAAAACAGCACCATCTAGGGTTGAAATGGCTCCATGGCTGCATTCAGCATGATGCCATTTCAGCAGGGTCGATCCAAACAGATCATGGCTGCAGACAACAAAAAGTGAAATGATGCAGAAATTAATTTGATCCACTGCAATAACAGATAGATTAATAGGAACTTTTGCGGCTGTACAAAAGAGAACACAGAAAACACCAACTCACTTTGCTGAAAATAACATTATGTGAATCACATATAAGAGGGGTATTGCCTGAGTTTGAAGCCTCTCTCTGGCCCATAATGCTATATTTTAAGAGGGTTGTCCTGGAAATGAGTGGTGGAGGCGAGAGGTCCGCAGGTGCAGTGGTGATTCCTCAAAACTTTATACTCTTACTGACTTATATGGGCATTAGTTTATATAACTGTGCCTACAGCAGCCCACGCCTCCCGTGCACGAGTACTGGCAAACCACAAAACATTCACGGTTTAAATCAGAGGTGCAACTCTTTGGGAGATCATTATTCTAAGATCACATGAAACTGATGCACACAAAGCCACAGAGCAGCATTACCAATAGAGGAGCAGCTCTGGCTCAGTGGGTAAACTTTCCTAAGGACAGACCCTCTGTAAACAGCAAACATGCACTCCACTCGTGTTATATGTTTTGAACCTGCTTGATGTCCTTTCAACAAAATTACAACCACTGTTTGTCATTACAACTCATTACTTCTTGTCCCTTTGGGCATGCTACCGCAATAGTGTATGAAGAAAACAGGTGTTGAACATTCAGACAAACATTACTAAGGTCCTCACATGTTGGCTCTCTTCATGGCCTTCACTGCACTATTTGGCAGCTATTTGGTAGATTCATTGACAGGTACTTTTCTCCAACTGTTATGGATAGTGAGTAATGACAGGTGATATTCAAGAAGAAATTAGCATCAGATATTCCTCCTCAGATGCCTGCCACTACGGGAGCTATGAACAAATCTGCAACAAGGGTTTGTCAAAGACAACAGTATCAAAGTCTTTAGATTAAATTTCCAATGAAAATCCCAAACTTTCCTGTCATTCATAAGTTAATTCTTCCATGTTGGCTTAGTAAGAAGTTTTCTTAGGCGGATAAATTGTTTTTATAAAACAAAAGCTTCTCTTTGACAGCTCCGTTAACCTAACAGATTGGAAGAAGCTTTCGCTTCAGTAACAGACCAGATATTGAGCACATTTCTGGAAATGTCAAATAATAGTATGGATGGTTTTAAGGCTAGAATCAAGTAAAAATACCTTCAAGTATTATGGGCACATGTTATGAATGATAGGTTTTAGTGTCTGTGGAGCAGAGAGAACAGACGTGTGTGGGAACATTCCATGTTGTGTGGCATGTGCGTAACATGTACTGCACAGGACATTGTTTTATAGTGACACATTTCTCTGGTGTGACTGTGTGAGGTAATACAAATTCCGTTGTATTTACTCATGGTGTCAACGTTATCAGCCTGCCATCTCACTTGAGTCCACACAACAAATGCAGTTTTGCTGGAGATGATCTCATCTCAAAAGTTATTAAGTTTAGTTCCAGTGGGGAATTAGCTTTTCACAAAATAGAAGTACACACTCAAGAAATAAAAATAAAAAAAACAAGTAAATATCTATTTTAGAAAACTGAAGCATTTGCAGAATTGTGAAAAGCAAATGAGGAAACATAATGTTGATTTCTTTGGATTAGTTTCAGTGTTAGTTTTTAAAAAGCTTAAAGAAGGCCAAATCCTACTTTTCAAACATTGTTCCCTCAGAAACACAGAGACAACTATTTGCATCCTCTTTATTTTTCAAAAGACATTTGTAGATGTTTAATTGCAACCAGAAACTGCATACTGTGTTCAAAATAGAATATATCCTGTCATCAAGATTAGAAATAGCCTTCGGTCCAATCTGTCCTGCAGGTCACCTCAACCTCCCGCTGTCATGCTGGTCCCTGTCCTTAAAAACACCTCTTTAATGAGGAGATTAGATCATTGTGTTGTTCTTTAAGTAGTTTACTTGATAACTGCCCCCTGAACTATTATCAAACTTACCCCATGCCCAAGATGACTTCTGACTCCTGGAAGAAAGTTATCAAAAAAGGACATGACTGATGATTACTGCATGACTGATGGCCCTTCAGATCTTTCTGACTCATGTGTTGTGGACAGTCATTTATTTATCTAAATTCAAATTTCCACACGTGGAGCTTTGCTCGAGGAATAGAGCCAGTACCATTACACCAACAGTCAGACACCCACGTCAGGTTTCCCTTTCACAGTTCGAGAACTACCCATAACCGCCCACAATCCCCGGAGAGAGACCAGGAGCAGAAAGAGATGGATGGAGGAAGGGAGGGGCACCTATTCCTGTGTGCACAGAGGGTTTTGTGTATGTGAGTGTGTGTTTCTCAGATGGAGAAGGAGGGACAGACAGGCAGTCAGAAAGAGGATGTGCCCGTCTGTGTGCACTCTGCTGCATCCACCTCTACTTTTCATTGGTTGAGGTAATGCTGTAGGTATGCCGGTACACATGTCTCTGCTCCCCTTTTTTGCAAATATGAGTGTAGTCAACGTCCACCACACCCCTTCCGACCATTTAAAAACTTTGATGACGCTTTGATCACCCCAAAAGAAAAGATCATCTATGTTTACACTAATGTTATAATTACTTATATATTAATATAATATTTTATCCTTTTAAAACACATTCATTGTGGCTTGAGTTAAAGATATGCCTGATTCAAATATTTCTGAAATTATCATCCCTCAATATCATCTAAAATATATCACCACTTCGCTTGACAAAGTATTTCTATTGAGTGTTTGTAGCCTATACTGACGATACTATATGTCGCATTACTATTCAGCTGGAGACAGTTCTTCTCCTCGCTGTGTCCCTGCACTTGCACACATACTCCGCTGATCCTCTTTCCGGTACCTTTGGCTGTGCGTTAATATCTGCGTAGTTTGGTGTTCATAATCGTTTTTCTCTGTCTCCCTGCACAGATCCCTCCCCTCTCTTCAGACTCGAGCGCCCTCCCTCCTGCGTGCGCTGACACAGTCACACTCGCGCACACGCGCGCTCACACACTCACGTCTCCCCCGCACACCCCCCCCCGTCTTGGTGCTGTCTCATTCACTTCGGTACTCCATCCACGCACTGACTCCAACTTCAAGCCGGGGGGGCGGGGTTGGATATATACCTCCGACTCCAGGCCACAAGCTACACTGAGACTGGACCCACTTGCAGTGCAAGGACCACAAGCAAGAAGACTCCGAAGCCGGGAGTAGAAGTACCAACATTTATCCTGGAGCTTAGAGAGAAAAGACAAGCGAGACCACAACGTTTGGTTCTACGGACTGTCTGCTGGAGCTCCGATTCAACCCAATTTGTCACCCCGCTATACGCCAGTTTCTCTGGATATAGCATCTAAACGAAGTTGGTAGTAAACTCTTTGGAGTTTGGTTAGAGTCGAATTATTTTTTCTTTGCTTGTGAGAGTGGACTGCACTGAAACTTGGGATCGACCCACTTGGGTCGGGTTTGGACCTGGCGCATTCTTTCAGCGGCTTCAAACACTGCGAAAGTTTTTGGCCAGAGCACAGATCTGAAGACTTTGAGTCGAGTCAGACTTTGAGAAACACTCAGCAGCTGCTACCCGAGTCCTGAAGACCTCAGGACGACCGGTCAGAGAGCCACTGACGAGACTTCAAAGAAGAGTTTTCAAGGTAAGAGGAAGATTAAAGATCTCTTTTAATCATGCTGTCATTGCTTTTTCATGTCAATGTTTAATTGAGAACCGTCTCTGTCAAAGTTATGCAGTGATGGCGACTGCTGTCTCTTGTGAAACAAGTTTTGTGTCAGCAGACTTTTCTGTATTGAGGTTGTGTGTCGCTGTCCGTGGTGCTGAAACTCTCTCAACACCAGTGCCCTGTTCTGTGTGGGTTTATTGCGTGTGTTCCAGCTTGTGTATGCATCGCTCCTTCTTCCCACGATGTTTATTCCACATCCATATCTGAATTGTTCTAATGTGCCTCACAGATGCTTTTGAAACTTACTCCTGGTAAAGTAATGCTGCCATGTCGCCTTGCAAGGCAACCAAACACAACAGCAACAGAAAGTTACATCAAGGCAACAAATTACTTGATATAACTTTCTGCCTTGCATGTGTTTAAAGATTTGGGTGTAGTTGTGTTAAATGTTCAAATGAAAAACAGATACATTAACAGTTATATCTTAAATCGTTTTTCAGCACCTTCTCCTCTACTTTAATGGAAGTTTTATGAACATGTGCAGCAAAAAATACTGAGTATTTCTTAAAAAATTATTTGAAATTAGATGTAGTCAAATATGTAAATATATAACCACACAAACTGTCTGAATGTAAGTAGATCATGTCAACAGTCTTCTGTAATTTGTGGTGGTGTGCAATGTATTTGTCAGGTGAAAGATTTGAAGGAAAAGAATCCGATAGTCTTAGCACATGTGTGCAAGTTATATTACCGGATGCAGCAAAAGAGAGTGTAAGAAATTTCTGAAGGCTGTGATGAAAACAAAAATTGTCACATGAAATAGAGCATGGAAAGAAAGATATTGGGAAATTCTACCGTCAGGCTCTGTTTGTTGCAGTTACTCATGCATGCATATGCATACATTAATGACAAACAGTTACTGAAAAATATTCTAACCTGAACAACATTCAAACTGAAAATCTAAAATCTTACAGCTCATATCTGTATTGATTCTTTACAGTTTCTGACTCCGAAAGATTACATGTTACTTAACAATCTGCAAACATTCATCTGCAGAAACGAACCATTACACACCCCAAAGAGGGACTTTACATTTCTTACTGCTTAAATGTGCAGCTTAGTTTCAGTTAATCATGCGCTTAAAGCGAACTCTTGTTGTTTACAAACTTCATTTCTCATGCATAAACAGAAACCGTGTTACAAAATGAAGCCTTTATTTTTTTCACAAAAATAACTCTGTTTCCATCACAACCAGTTTGCTCTTTCGACTGTCCGCTGTGCAAAACTTGCTGCTGACGACAGCAAACGAACAGGCATGAGAGTCAGACAGACAGGTTGGGTGGGGAGGGGGGGGGGGTGAGAGATGGAGGAGAGAGTTCTCCTGCCCAGCTGGACCGCTCTTTTCACTCTGCTTCTCATCAGGTGCCCATTCATGGAGCTTCCGGATGTTGAGGGGCGGGGGGGAGAGACAGACACACAAAATGACACAAAGCAGAGGTCTTTGCTGAGTTGCTCCCAGAGAGGAGCGAGACAGAGAGGGAGGGAGGCTGAGATGTGAAGAACGTAATTATGCGTTCTCTTATGAAAAGTGCAGGTGCTTCTCACAGCGGCAGACGCCATAGGCATGAATTATAATGCTGTTTCTGCACCCGGCAACATATTTATGATTAACCCTTCGGTCACATTCAGATGCAACATGTTGTTGAATATACTGGAATACTTACTGAACATACTAAGTATGCATGCATGTACATTTCATAATATTTAAGTAAAGGTTATGTATTTTACTGAAAACATCCATCAAAAGAAGCCGTAAGCAGGAAAACATGATAGAGCTGAATCTTAATCCTGAATGCATGTGAAAGATGTTGCTGAGCAACGGCTTTGACTCCTCTCTGCTGAGCTCCAAAAAGCATCTCCTATTACCTATGTCGAATACAAGGACTTAGACGGAAGCTGTGCACTTTTATACCAGTCGGGAGTATAAGGCACACAGTGGCAAATGACAAAGTCCTTACAAGATAAAGTGAGGTTTAGACAATGCATATTTGCATATGTTGATAAAGAAATAAGAGTAATATGAATGCATGAAACCTCTCTGCAATAAAGCAAAGAATGCATAATTTAAACAGGCTTTTGTTAATGTGCTATTTAATTTAACTTTTGGTATGCAATGCAGTAAATATCCCCCAAAGAGTTTCTGAGATGCCACTGCAGTCTATGTAATCACCCCTCACTACGGCCAGGGTCGTTTCTCCTGTTTACCGCTTAATGGGAGGAGTGCATTGCACAAATTACAACACTACTAAGCGTCTGTGGTTGCTAGTGGCGAAGCTTCTGTGGACGTCAGACTGACGCACACAGTGCAGTGTGTGGGAGGAAAGAGCAAAAGCTTGGAGATACCAGCCTGCTGTGAAGGACTGTAATTGCAGTGCTGCAGCAATTATGCCCCTGAGAAAAGTGCATTTCAGATATACCCCTAAAGCACTGCGATACAGATCATAGGCAAGTCTCAGCTGCATAAATATTAGTTTTACAATAGGTCCAAATAAAAATGCATGTCAGAATTTGGAGAAAAGTCCATTGTATTACCCGGTAGTAATTATATTAGCCTGGAAGTAACAGCTTGTGCATGTTTGGGCAAACTAACATTTTTCACTGTTTTTCTGCAGATCCCTCTTTGATACAGACATGACTGACTGTCTGATGCACTAAAATCTACTAATCCAACAATTCTTCAGAGGGTTTGCGAAGACAAACTAAAGATCTGGAACAAGTGCAGTAACTTGCAACAAAGAAGTCAAATAAACAACGTAGTCGAACCAGAAATCGCAGATTCGACATCAACACCGTCCTCTTGCAAGGCCGACCCAATGGCGCGGTCAGCTCTTACCGGCCCCTGTGTGGCCCTCGTCCTACTCTTCTTCGGTTTGACCTCCGGCACTCCCTCCGGCCCTGCCTCCGCAACCTGCGCCACCTTGGAGCAAAGCCGCTTCTTCGGTGTGTTCTCCTCGACAACCACGCTGCCCTCAACGCCATGCTCCTGGACCCTGCAGAACCCCGATCCTCGCCGCTACACAGTCTACATGAAAATCACCAAGCCCACTGACTCCTGCGTGCCCCGCCAGATCAGAACCTTCCAGTTCGACTCCTTTATCGAGACCTCTCGCACCTACTTGGGTATGGAGAGCTTTGATGAGGTGGTCCGGCTGTGCGACGCTTCAACCACCGTCACCTACCTGGAGTCGAGCAAGCAGTTTCTGCAGATCCGCAAAGTGGCACCAAGAAATGCTCTGGCGATCGTGGAGGGAGAGAATGATGTCAGCGAGTTCAAGGCTGAGTTTCTGGTTGTAGGGAAGAGGAACCCAAGCATGCCTGCCTGCCAGATGTTGTGCCAGTGGCTGGAGAAGTGCCTGTCCAGCAGCACCCATGGTTATCCCTGCGGCATCATGAACACCCCCTGCCAGTGCTGGGAGGCACCAAAGAGGAAGCCAGGAAGCTGCTACAGAGGTGGCGTCTACGTAGAGAAATGCACCCCTGTACCCAAAGACGTCGGACGCGATGCTGAGATCATCAGTAAGTTCATAAAAAACAGCATGTTCTGCTGTGTTTGTTCAGTGGTTTTGTATCACATTTAGTGGGCTTCACTAGAGGGGAGGGTCGTGCTCCCCAGGACCCCTCAGCTCTTTTTTAAAAGTGTCTTTGGAGCTGCTGAGAGTAATGATCTGTGAGAGTATTGTGCTACCAAAAGCTAATGAGAAGTAAATCAAAGTTGTTAGAGATATTTGCCAGTGCATCTTTAGGCGTAAGTGGCATTACCTCCTGAAGAGCACACTTTACTCAGCTCTCCATTTTCTCTGAGGCAGGCTTGTTGGGTTTGATGTTTGGAAAGGAGTCAAGGTTTTCGGGGAGAGGGATAGAGAGCATGTTTGTGTGTTAGACTGATGGAGAGATGAAAAGAACACAAAGACCTCACACTCAGCTGGCAGTAGAAATCGAAACAGTGCTTGTAGTTGCCATAGCAACATGCCAGTCGGCCTCGCATACCACTCTGCCACTTGGTTGAGACCAAGTGGTTAAAAGCAAACAATCAAATTTTCAAATTGAATATCAATAGATTTATTGTTCGGTTTCACTGAAAAAGAAATGTCCTTGTTCATTTTCTGCACATAAAGAAAATGTGGCTTACCTCACGCTCTTGAACATGAAGTTAGAAAATGTTTGATGAATCATGCTTTTGTGCACACCTTACACAAAGGCAGTAATCGTACCTCAAATTGCAGTAATTGTATGTAGCAGTTTCAGTTTCTCGCCTTGCTCAATATCCACTATTTCCTTTTCCTGCAGAAGGCTGGGCTGACTGGAGCCGCTGGTCTGTGTGTAGCCAGGAATGTGGTGGTGGAGTCCAGGTGCGTAACCGAGCCTGCCAGCCTGATGACGCTGTGTGCGAGGGAACAGTTGAAGAAGGGCGCGCTTGCAACCCCCAGCCATGCATCGGTAAGCCCATCTGTACTTTAGTTATTTAACAAGGGGGCACGGATTCAGCTGGCTCTGATTCAAAGTGATGATGCATGCTATTTTCACATTCTCACAGGCAAAGAACGCAGCAGAAGTCAGGGTCTGCGGGCTATCGTCGGTCTGAAGAGAGACAATACTGATGAGTCCAGCTATGGAGCTGTTGCCCCTCAAACAGGTGAGAAAAAAGGTGCTGTCCCTGCAGATGACAACTTTAAGCAGAGCATAGTGGAAACGTGTGAAAAGCCTGTTGCCATGCCCCTCTAATTCCTATTGTTCACAACAGAAACCAAGACGGATGAGTGGTCCTCCTGGAGTGAATGCTCAGTTTCCTGCGGAGAGGGCTCGCAGAGCCGTTCACGTGTCTGTGCCACTTCCTCCTATACCACCCAGTGCACCGGACCCCTGAGGGAGAGCCGGCCATGCAATAACACAGTCGTTTGCCCTGGTAAGTGCCTGCTATCACTTCTAATATGAACCTGATGGAGAGTAAAGAAAAATTGCGAGAAAAAATTGTGTTTTCAAAGTGTACAACACAAGCAAGCCCATCATCTCTTAATGATTACCCTTTACACATCAGCCAGTAACAATGGGAGGGAAAAGGCAATAAGTGATTGAAGCATTTTTTTTAGCTCACACCTGAGATTTGGATTCAAGCAGGGTGGTTGCTATCTTCCCCTTTTTGTGCTTTAAAGTTGTGTTGTTAACGATTGCCCCACTTAGTAAATAGTTTCCAAATGCTCTTAGCAGACCTCCAGCGAGTTTAAAGAATACTCTGGCATTGTTCGCAGTTTGTTCTATTATGTCCCTCATCACAACAACCTTTTGTGTTTCCTCTGTAGTGGATGGTGCCTGGGATGAGTGGACCCCCTGGAGCTTGTGCTCCTCCACGTGCGGCCGTGGTTATCGTGATCGTACCCGCAAATGTAAGCAGCCCCAGAATGGGGGAGAGCCTTGCCGCGGCGCCTCAAGACAAACCAAGTTCTGCAACATTGCTGTCTGCCCAGGTGGGTCCAGCATCTCTACTGTTTGAGTCTTTTTTCAGTTGTTGAATAAGATATCATATCAAGAATGTGGTGTATCAAACAGATGCACGTCATCACAGTCAAATATCTAAAAGAAAAACCAATCATTGCGTCTCTGATCACTATACTTGAAAATCCATGACATGTGACTCAGGCTATCATACTTAACCTTTTACTGAAATGATTCATATTTTAGAGCTAATTAAAACATAGAAAGGTATCACCATCACTACTAACAGCAACTACAGTGGCACGTTGATATAACATCTGACTCACCAGAACAAAGCCTCTGGGTATTAGTCAGTGGCTTATAGCTGTTGCTCATGACTCATGCAGTACTCATGGTCACTCAGTCCATTATAGCTTTACTTTACTCTTATTCTGCCACCTACTTCTGGAATTTAACTTTAAGTCACAGATACAAATCTAAGTTATTTTCCAGTTCCTCCCCTTCCGGTTTAGTGGTGGTACTGAGAAAGCAGAAACTTTTATCCAAAGTGCCCTCTCAATCTGAACGTGGTTTTGCTGCAGTTCCATTTTATCATCAGCAGATGTCTCTGTGCCACCGGCAGCTCGCTGATGCTGTCTGACAGAGAGAATGGGCAAAGTCATTACTGAGAGATGATTATTTGTTTCATTTGATACTGAAAGGTTTAGGAGATTAAGTCATCCTGGATAGCCCATCCAGTGTAATGGAAATGTCTATTTTCTACTTCTTTTTTAATAACATGCTCATACGATCTTTTTTAGGAGGCAGGATTTAATATTAGTAGTAATTTTTTAGTTTGTATTTTTGTCACATCAGTTCTCCAAAAGTTAAAATGCTACTTTTTTAATACAATAAATTTTTTACTTATCAAGCATTCAAATGCACGGGAAAACTAAGAAATAACTTTAGGTTTAAGGCCAGTGAATATTTGATGTTTAGAGGTACAAACAGTCCTATTTGAAGGGTTAATAAGTTTACCCTGACTATCTTTCCATTAAAATTCAACCTAAGTACATCATCTGAGACATTCATCACATCAGTGATGCTGCCAATGATGTCTGTGACCAGAGGCTAGGTCTAATCTGTACACTGGCTCTAATTCTTTTGCACATGCAATCCTCTGCTTCCCTCTAGTGGATGGATCTTGGAATGAGTGGTCTGCCTGGACTACTTGCTCTGCCTCTTGCTCCAACGGCACCATGCAAAGAACAAGAGAGTGCAACGGGCCATCTTATGGAGGATCAGAGTGCCATGGCAGCTGGAAAGAGTCAGCCAACTGCTTTCTTAAAGATTGTCCAGGTACAAAATACAAAAGTACACTTTTCAGAATAACTTTTCAAATAAGATGTCCCAGCTCAGAGCTCATTATTTAAAATTCGCTTCGTAGTTGACGGACGCTGGCATGCGTGGAGCTCTTGGGGCAGCTGCAGCAAGACCTGTGGTGGAGGCATCCAGCAGAGACAGAGAGTCTGTGAAGGGCCATTCTTTGGAGGAGAACCTTGCCCCGGTGAAAAGGGGGAACAGAAGCGCTGCAACGAGAAGCGATGCCCTGGTAAGTGATTCCCGAGCAATAAATTGAGAAGTCTCTGTGCAGTTGGAGTATAACTCCAATTTAAAAAGAGGCGGACACTTATCACATCACTTCTGATTGGTTTCACCTCTGCAGAGCCACATGAGATCTGCCCTGAGGAGCACACCGGAGATGTTGTGTGGAAAAGAACTCCTGCAGGAGATATGGCTGCCATTGCATGCCCCGCTGATGCCTCAGGTACGAAGAGTCCCGGTTCAGTGATTCTGCATGAACTGTTGCTGATTAAACCATTTAACATCCCCACTGCAGCTTTGAATAAAACATACGTTTACCGTTAACAGGTCTGATTCTGCGCCGCTGCACCCTTGATGCCGTAGGGCTTGCTTCCTGGGAGAACCCATCTCACGTCCACTGTGTTTCCAAGAACTATGAGAACATTCAGACTCTGGTAAGCCCTGAGGCCATAATTAAAAGTAGAATTTCCACAGGTCTTAATTAAATATACATTCAAAAGTTCAGATTAAAATATAGTCTTTGTATTTTAGTCAAGGGATTACATCTCTAAAGCACAAATTGGCCAAAGCGTGGATGGCGTTGCTGAGGTGATTTCACGCCTGAGATTCTCATCTGATGAGGGGGCCAAGTACAGCGGTGATCTCTTGGCTGTCATGGATATCCTGAGGAACACCACTGAACTGTACCAGGGAACCAGGCTGAGACTGAGTAACGCTGATGTTGAGGTAAGCTCACACCACATTTAGATTGGGGAATGCCTGATAATGAGAATGCACATTTTTAGAGATGCAATCACACAACATCTCATCATCTCCTCCTCCATTTTTTCTCATACAGAATTATGTCCAGACCATCAGTAACTTGCTGAAGGAGGAGCACCGTGACAAATGGGAAGAGGCACAGCTGGTAAGTGTGAAGAGGGTGTTCTTATTTTGGCATGAGTGTGTGAAAGAAAAATTGGAGACAGGAGTTTCCAGGAAGTTTGCAACACGTTTCAAAATTAGGATAGGGTGTTGCATTTGCACTGGTTCAAACTCAGGATTTTTTTTTTTTTACCTACCCAAATAGGCCTTGACAATGGAATCAAATTATTATTTCAGCACAACCCTCTGTTTTTGGTAAAACCGGTGTTTCCCAAGAAAGACTGGACTTTGGAAAGTTAGAGAAGAAATCTCACACTATAGCGGCTAAACACATATTTGTGCTCAAGCTGAAAGCAGGAGGGTGAGATACTGCGACCACTGCGTCATTGAATCAGGGAAAATCACTACTCCCACTCTGCAATCTGTGAGTCTCCATTCCATCCTACATACTGATGGCTGTTGTAAACAGACATCACATTGAATGCAAGCACACACCTTGCGCCCACATCGCCGCAGTTCTGCGTCAGAGACACGCAAATCACACAGCCCTCCCTTTCACTAAAGAACTGAGGACAAAAACCCAGAGTATGAATCAACAGCCTGCCCATTTATGGCCATACGGAAGTTCTGGGGTTGCATAGCAGCAAGAAGTGTTATTTTTCTCCGGGTTTTTTTTTCAGTCCACTGTTGAACACAGAATATGAACAGGCTGGAATGGTGCAAGAGTAGATTATGCAGATGTGAGCCATGTAATGCATAATGACTGCACAATTAAACCAGTTGTGTTAATTACCTCAAATGCAACCAGATGTGTCCATATGTGTGACTCTTTTCCCTCTCTTGTCCCTATTTTTCTCATCCAGATGGGTGCCACAATCAAAGACTTCCTCCGCATAGTTGAAGACTTTGTGAACATGATCGGTTTGCAAATGAGCGGCTTCCAGGACATCTATGAAGTCACCGAGAATTTAGGTGAGCTCCAATTTCTTCTGCCAGCCCGTCTCTGTTCATGTCAAGGCAAAATGATTTGTCCTGTCTCCAGCCAGAGAATCCATCCATCTTAATGTGAGTCCGTATACGTGGAAGCAGAATGTGTCAGTCATCATTCTGACAGATTGCCAAGTCTATCAGCTTTATTCTTTTCCAAGATGTAGCACAGCTTATATGACACAAAAGATATGCAGAGTTACTCTGACACTAACTTATCAATGAGTCAAGTAATATATAAACGATCAGTCAGAAATGCAAATGTTACGTGCTAAACTGTTTGTGACTTGTGTAACAAGCATTTGATGGGAAATAGCTGTATATATAAAAGCATTGTACAATATACGAAAACACACAGTGTGCTTTACTAACAAAAGCTCCTGTCTATCAATCTTTGTGCCTCTCAGTGTTGAGTATCCACAAGCGCCCCACGACCACAAGTTCCAACTTCACATTCCCTGTGAAAGGCTGGAGGGGCATGCTGGACTGGGTCAGGAATTCTGAGGAGAAAATCTCTGTGTCCCGTGACGCACTGTCCATCAAACAGTCTGGTAAGCTCAGTCATGTGTGACATTTCATTAAAGGGATTAACTGGTGTGCAGTTACAAGGATTTGAGTCTAATGAGATATTCTGGATTTCAGATGGCAACGATCCTTTTGTGACTGGCATTGTCCTCTACAGAAACCTTGCTTCTATTATGTCCTTCCAGAGGTAATTTGATTTGACTGCTTTCATATTTATTAAATTGGCCTTCCATGGAATATCATTTGTGGTCACAAGATGGCGCCTTTCGGTCCCAGATTCATGATCTCTGTTGTTTTTCTGACATTTATGATTCATACCATACTCACCGTGCAATATTTTCTCTCACCACAGTAACACAACGCTGATCAACTCCAAGGTGGTGTCAGTAATTGTCAAACCCACCCCGACTCTCCTGTCAACCCCTGTTGAGATCGAGTTCCCCCACCTCCACAATGTGAGTCCCTGATGAATAAACACACTAATGGAGCCTTACATAAAATGTTATCCCCCCCCCCCCCCCCCCCCCTCTGGGTGCTTGTGCACCACAGTCTGACATTTTCCTGACATTTCCTGCTACACTCAGACATTTACTTATACTTGTGTTGGCTGAAACCTGGCAAAGTTCACAGCTCGGCCAAATGGTCAATTGACAATGACGACGATGATGATGATGATGGTGATGATGATCATGTGTAATAATTAGTCTCTGCAGCTGAGAAGAAGCTGTTTTTAGTTGCATGCATGTATTACAAGGAAGGGTAGTGAGAAATGTGGGCAGGTGTCTGCCAACAAGCTGTTGCATCTTAACATGTTTATAATAAGGCGTCCCAGCCCCCGCGTTTCCCTTTTCTGCAGAGATTCCTCACACTTCTCCATCTGCCTCGTTTTTCTAGGGTACAACGAACGAGACGTGCCTGTCATGGGACGAAAGCGAATCGTAAGTGTTAACTGCTGTTCCTTCTCTTTTAGAATGTGCATCTGTCCCTCTCATCTCTAAATGACCAGTGGTCAGTTGATGTGGTGCTACTTGTTGTCTATCTCTTCGTTTCATCGTTACCCATTTGTCACAGTTTACGAGCATCAATTCCTCCAAAGGCCACTGTTCACTAGCAACAAAGCAATTACTTTACATCCACATTTCACTTCAATTGTTTATGATCAGGAGGGAAAAAAATACATTATAACCATATATGACCCAGGTGGATCATTTGTAGCCTGAGAGATTTGCATTTGTGCAGGAAAAAAATAAAATGCTAATTCTCCTACATGTACCCACCACACCTCTCTAAATCACAACCGGAGTCAGAGAACAAGGACAAGCCAAAATGAATTGAGAGAGAAAATGTAATTAACTCATATTCTTTCAGAGGGAGGGCAATGTGCCTCTAGTCAAATTAGATTCATTTTTGACAGCAGATGTGATTAATGCAGGACAGAGACAGGGAAAATGGAAGGGGATGGAGCTCTGGGTACTAGACTTGGGATTTACTCATATGATTGTAGATATCTGAGAGCATTCTGGTCACAGGAAGCAGTCCATTAGCTTCTCCAGTCCCAGACTTTATGGTTACAGTTAAAAAACACCTGCAGTTTCTGTCTGTTGTGCTGTAATTCCATATAGAGCACAGCACACATTACTCTGTGTGGACAGGCACGCTTGGATGCCATTTCAGCAAACTGTCATGATGATTCGGCCCTGCAGCTGTGTCCAAAGACACTCTGAACCAGACTGGACCTGCTGGCTGGACTTTTCACCACTCCCTATTTCACAAGTCACTCAGCCTAAGGGTGCTCGTCTTGTAGCATCTACTGCTTGACCTGCTCTAGAAAAGGGAGAAAATACCATAAATCCATGCTGTCTTCATGTTGTCAGACCTTCTGTTTCTGAGGAAAATGATGTTGTTTGTCATCACTGAGCTCAACAAATATTACCAGTACTTACATCAAATAGTGCATATTACAAGAATCATGCACATGATGACCTAATTTATTATATCAAAGATGGTTATTAATCACATACAGACACAAGTGAATCCTGAGCTAAAGATCAGCAAGTCACGTTGAAAAGAAAAAAAATAGATTTTTTTTAATCAAAGACATAGTCAAGTATTCTGCTATTCTTTTTGTAAAAGATAAGAGAGAGGAGGATTTGTCAGATCTCTCCTCTCCTAACCCATCGCTGTCTTTCCCCCACTTCCCTGTGCAGCTCCTCTCTGCTTGGGTCTTGGTCTGCTCGGAGCTGCAGAGCGGTGCCCGTTCATTCATTCAGAACCAAATGCGTGTGTGACAGCCTCTCCACCTTCGCCATTTTAGCGCGCGTCAACTTCGACTCGGTAAGTCATCTGTGCTCAGAATAATGTCTGCTTTTTTACTCAACTTTGCCCGTTAAATCTTTCCTGCATGGGTGTGATTGCGGTGCGGTGTGGACGTGCGGGACTTGTTTTTGAGCGGTTTTCTGTAGCGCTGCCTGCGCTTCTTTGTGTCCGTGCAGGTGCCACTGATCGGAGAATCGCAGCCTGACAGTATTCTTATTCAACACGTTGATGTTTAGAAATCGCGTGTATATTTTTTAAATCAAAACGTTGAATTTCCCTATTGGGCTTGACGATTTTTGCAGATTCTTGCAAATCTGACGCTGAATCATATTTGCATGTATGCATGTGCAAAAATTTGGCAAATTTGATTTTGCAGCACTGAAAAAAACGTTTGTGGTCGTTTGCACAAAAAATTAAAGAAGAAAAAGCGATATGGGGAGGAATGTTATTTCTCACTCTTGCAAACAATTTGCAATTTATTTTTAATCGTGCATCTTTTTAATATCTGAAGGAAAATTACAAGGGCTCCCATAGTTCGTGTGTTGATTGCCAAAGTCTTTAGCTTTATTTCCTGCGCAAAAACAATGTGTAATTTTCCCCCATAGACTTTGCAGCAGCTAAGGCTGCTCATCGTTCAGTTGCCTTGGTAACGGCTTCTGCAGGGCAAACTCGACCTGGGTAATTTTTGATAACCTGATATGCTGAATGGGGGGTGGGCATACGTCCTCCTCTTCTCCACACCCTCAAGACAGAGGAAATGATCTGTCAATCTCAGCTGAAATCACATCAACAGATTAATAACATTTTGTGGAAATGTTTTTGTTGATCGTTGGGAACAAAACAACACACTTAGGACTTAGACTGCAATGTATTCTGCTCCTAAAGCCATGCAGTCATTTATCCCCTCAAACCTGTTGTTTACAGCTTTGTCTTGCTGTTACCAGTCTGAACAGCACTTCTCAAATTTGTTATAGGCTGCGTCTAATCTCCCCCCCCCCGCCTTTCAACGCTCTCTGCCAATATCTCATAATTCTCTATTACATACACGCACTCTTCCTTCTCCTTCCTCTCCGACCACAGCAGCAAAACTGAAAATGCCAAAGAGGTAGACCAATGAGAGGCAGACGTCTGGTCATGCTCTGATGGTTCCTCCACGCTCCCCCCCCCCCCCCCCCCCCCCCCCCCCTGCCTCCATCCTCTGATGTGTGCTGTGGAAAATTTCAATAACAACCACATGAGGAACACCGATGACAGTTGACAGGCACAAATAAAAAAGGAGTGAGGAGACAGGCAAAAAAAAACACCCGATGCGGCACTGTGTTAGTTTGACAAGACCTCGAGTTGGAAAAATAGTGGCTCCCTTATTCTTATAACAGCAGATGCCCTTGACTGCAGGTCAACTGCACACTTCTTTCTTCCCTTATCTGTCACAGATATGTTCAAAAAGAGAGCATGTCATTTTTTTTCAAGGACAGGCAGAACTGGCACTTCATATTTATGTCAAACTGGCTTTCTGACTTTTACTTACTGGCCCCTTGGAACAAGATTTGACCCAGATACAAAGACTGGGAGTGAAGGGAACAGGACATAATATATCAACTATGTCATACCCTAGATTTCCAAAATCAGAGGTGTTCGAATAACCCGGGCTCTCATTACAACCGTTTGACTTAGTATGATGCAGACAAGAATTATAGGAGCAGTGCAACCATTAATTGGTACTTTAGCCAAGCAGACAGGGGGTTTGTGAAGTCTCACGGAGCTGAGATTTGTGTGTACAGCAGTGACCCACAAGCCCTCTGGGTGAGTGAGCAGCAAGGAGGACAGGCAATAAAGCAGCCCCTCCTCTGTTTAATCCACCACAAGTTTGGTGCCAGGGCTGTTTGAAACATGGGATGGCCACCGCCGCTGGCAGCGGCAGGCGCTAAGCTGCTGTCAGAGATCAGAAGGGCAGGTGGCAGCAGATTAATGCACGGGTAATAATGGTGCACCTGTTCTGCCCTCCAGAGATCTAAAAGGAGCAGCTGGTTGGGACAAATGTACTAAAATAGTGTGAAAAAAAGCCAATATGGAGAGTAAAGAGGAGCACAGCATGGCTGGCAGTGATTTGAAGCTTGTTGTAGCTGTTAAAACTAACGACTGAACACGAGAGTGCGTCCTTCTCACCTCGTTTACTGATTCGAAAGCTCGACGGAGAGAAGTGTAGCGACCCAGATGATTTGTTAGTTTGCTGTTCCATCTTTTTGACACGTTCACCTTGGGGTCACCTTGCCTGAGCTGTGGCCTGATTGTGCCATTCTGCTGTTTGTCTACAGGGAGCTGTCTGCTATTCTAGATAGAGCGCGCTCATCTGCAAGCTCTTTTTTGTGGTGTGTGTGTGTGTGTGTGTGAGACTCCCACCCCATTTTTGCCCTCTTTTTCATTTTCTTTGTGTGTGTTTGTAATTAGTTCTAAGAGATATATTTGGCCTTGTCATCCCTCTGCAGATCATGGACAAAGCACTGCTCCCATCCGTGACTCTCATTGTTGGCTGTGGGGTCTCTTCTCTCACCCTGCTGCTCCTTATCATCATCTACGTCTCTGTGTGGAAGTAAGTAACCCTACAATCCAGCTATGCCAGCCTCTTATATTATGTAATGTGAAATGTGGTGTCTCCTTCTGCCTACTCAGTCCTAAACTCTTCTCTCATTTCAAATCTTCAGGTACATTCGCTCAGAGCGCTCCGTTATCCTCATCAACTTCTGCCTCTCCATTATATGCTCCAATGCCCTCATTCTTATTGGCCAAACTCAGGCTCGCAATAAGGTAAGCCGGCCGATCTGACCGAGCCAACAGCCGTTTTAAGGTTTTCTACATCTCTGGGATCGAGCAGTTCTCATCTCGCGTCTCCGTTTTCTTCATCCCGCAGGTGGTCTGCACCCTTGTGGCAGCCTTGCTCCACTTCTTCTTCCTCTCCTCTTTCTGCTGGGTGCTGACAGAAGCTTGGCAGTCTTACATGGCCGTCACTGGTCGTCTGCGCAACCGCATCATCCGCAAGCGTTTCTTGTGCTTGGGCTGGGGTAAGAGTCTTTATCTTCTCCCATTTTGACTGGGTTGTGGTAGTTTTCCACATAGCTGTCATGTCCTACGGGCTGGAATTAAAATGCATATCCGCTCTGTTGCAGGCCTTCCCGCTCTGGTGGTTGCTGTGTCTGTGGGTTTCACTAAAGCAAAGGGATACGGCACCGTCAACTAGTAAGTACAGGCTCTGCCTTCCTTTCTCGCTTGTTCTCTTCTAACTGCATTATTTTTCTTCTTTTCTACAAAAGCCCTTGCTTTAGCATTAACTTTATCCCTGCTCATCTTTTCCAGCTGCTGGCTGTCTCTTGAGGGTGGGCTCCTCTACTCCTTTGTTGGTCCTGCAGCAGCTGTTGTTTTGGTTCGTACTCTGACTTTAATGTCCCAGTCCTCAACGGTACATTCCCAGTATTGTATGAATGTGTCTTTACATTGTCTAATCCTTTTTTTTTTTTTTTTTTTCAAACAGGTGAACATGGTCATTGGCATTCTTGTCTTCAACAAGCTTGTATCCAAGGACGGCATCACCGATGTGAAACTGAAGGAGAGAGCTGGGTAGGTCTTACTGACCTTGTACATTGTGCTTCACCATCATCAACAGCATTACTAGTTTATTGATGGTCTGCTTTGATATCAAACCATCAAAATCAAGAAACATCTGTTAACCCTAATCTGTTCTCCTAACCCCACAGAGCATCACTGTGGAGTTCCTGTGTGGTTCTGCCCCTCTTGGCCCTCACCTGGATGTCCGCTGTCCTGGCCATCACAGACCGGCGTTCGGCTCTGTTTCAGATCCTCTTTGCCGTCTTTGACTCCCTGGAGGGTTTCATCATTGTCATGGTGCACTGCATCCTGCGCAGAGAGGTGAGAAGGGGAATTAGACAAGTTTAATTGCATGGAATGAGCATAAAGAGGAAAGCCGATTTGGGCTATTTCTATCAGGTTACACATGCTTGAACATAGCTAATTATTTCCTGGATCCTCTGTCCTTCTGTTAGGTTCAAGAGGCTGTGAAGTGCAGAGTAGTTGACCGCAAGGATGATGGAAATGGAGACTCTGGCAGTTCCCATCACAATAGCCACCCCCAGCACATGGTAAATATCTTGTCTTACTGCCTTTTTAATGTCATGAGTGCTTATTTTTTCCCTAGATGAATACATACATGCATTTAACACTAATGCAATGTTTTGCTCTTCTATTAGCAGTCTGATAATGAAAAAGATGGAGATTCAAGCAGACAAGGTGAGCAACATTTCGCTCTTGCCCTCAACCCGTCCTTCATTTAAAATTTAAATTTCTGCTAGTCCTCGCTCAAAACATTTGATCCTGCATAAATTCTTCTTACTCAGGTCTAATTCTCTTCCAATTTTTCTCCAAAGGCATGCTAAGCTCTTCTGACGAGAAGATGGCCCCTCCTCAGCTGCCTCTTCCCATGGGCTCCAACTTCCACACCCTGCCATCCAAGAGTAGTCACATGCAGGCGGTTCCCGAGTACTCCAGCCACACCCTGACCCTGAAGAGAGAGAAAAGCCGTCTGGCAGGAGGAGTTGACCCATCCTGCGGGAAACCAGTATACGTCTGCGAGGGGGAGCTTTTCCAGCAGCTGGATGTGGATCTCGCCCATGCTCAGGCCGAGGGCAGCCTGTCTGACGGCAGTGGCTATGTTCTCATGCCAAATACTACCTCCACCCTGAGGTCCAAGCCTAAAGATGACACCACAAAATACAACATCAATGTGGAGCAGCTGCCTCAGGCCAGACTCATGCACCTCGGCGGGCCCTTCGCTGAGCCCCAGGCGGCCTTCGGGATGTCATCAATCCCACCTGATCAAGTCAGCATGTCGTATTCAGAGAGAGACTCGCCCATCCAGAACATCCACAACATGTCCAGCGAATCTCACATCACCCACAGCAGCTTGGAGAACACCTTCGAGTCTATGAACTCCATGATGTCCAAGAGTGAGACCATCTCCACCCTGTCCATGAGCTCTTTGGAGGTAAGAAAAACATTCAACTGTCGTTTAATGCTTCCTCTCATAGGGTTTCCAATATGTATCTAAAACTAAACTGACTTTATTTCTCTATTTGCAGCGACAAAAATCACGCTATGCAGAGTTGGACTTTGAGGTAAATATTGTTTGGTTACCTTTTCTGAAAAGATTAACATAAAAACATGTTGTGTTTATTGAATGAATCCCAGCAAGCACTAACTTTGAGAATATTTTTTGCCTTCTCCAGAAAATAATGCACACCAAGAAACGCCATCAGAACATGTTCCAGGACCTTAACAGGAAGCTGCATCACGCTGAGAAAGATAGAGAGTCCCCTGCTTCTGACAGCAAGGTAATACGTCGTGATATTACGCTCATGCCCCATTTCCATCCACATCAACTTTCAAGAGATACAAAACAAAAAAAAAGAAAAAGAGAAATAGAAAATCAGAGGAAACAATACTACTAAAAAAAAAAGATTCTCTGATGGAAAACAAACACAAAACTATACCGTACAACATAGTGTATTAAACTATGTTTGTCAGCACCTTTGGGTCATTTGAATAAGGGTGTATTTTCTTCCTTCCTTCTTACAGTCTGTGAGATGGAGTGTGTCATCAGGAGGAAGTGACAAAACGAACCACAGCGTGAGTGTTTATATACAACCTCACAATGTCAAAATTTAGTGAAACTATTCCATCATATTAGAAGTGCATGTACGTCAAGGAAGCATGATTTAACTCAAATGGCAGAATCAATCTGATTATTAGAAAATCACCTTTGATGATTTCACTTCATATTTATTCAATTATGACTAAGGGCTGATGGGTGACATGAGTGCTAACCTGTTTTCCCTTTGTTCTCCCACAGGACAAACAGCAGGCTCCTCTGGAGAGGCCATGGGAAGGAGTCCGGGGAATGCAGCAGTCCCCCCCTGCATGGGTGCGCAAAGACCTGGAGCCCCTAGCTGCCTCGCCACTGGAGCTGCACTCTGTGGAGTGGGAGAAGGCCGGCACCACTATTCCCCTGGTGGGGCAGGACATTATCGACCTGCAAACTGAGGTCTGAGGGGGGAGTAAGGGGCTAGCAAAGCCACTTGATTTCACCTCAGTCACCTTTTTTGGTTTGGGAATGGGATCCTGTATGGATAGAGTAGAGGAAGCCAAAAAAGGGAAGGAATGAGATCCCAGAATCTGTGTCTTCAAACCCTCAGCCTGAGCAGGAAGGGAGGGGTAGAAGGAGTGATGGGGGAGTGGTGGTGATAGTGATGGGATGTATAATGTAGCTTCTCTGTGTGGACTCTTATAAGAGTGCTCTTAAGGTCAAAATGGTTAGCGGAGCAACCAGCGGAGTCCATGGAGCAGGACTGTCTGTGGTTTCATTAACGCCTAACTGGGAGTTACCTGAACCCTGCAGCCTGAGTGTCAGAAGATGTGGTCGACATGTCTGTGCTTCTTTTCTCCTTCGACTCAGCCTTGGAGAAAAATGAACAAACATTGAAACGGCAGGTCCTCCCTGTTTCTTGGGGAGGGGGGGCACACCCGGAACTCTTAGCTGCTCTGTTTGCAGCCATGTTACCTTCCAAAACATGACGAGGCAAGAGAGCATAATGGGGGCAGTTTCATGCTATAGTACTGTGCACTTTGGTTAATGGGCACATACATTTTGATTTTGTGCAGTGGGTTATGATTTTTGTTTCCTGTGTATTTGATACTTCTGCTTTGCACCTGGATTCATGTCTTCAGAGCTGAAAATGAGACTCTCTGCAGAGAATACCACTCCTTTACTGGAGGATAATCATGCTGATAGTGTTTTTCACTGTTGTTATCACCATGGTTATTTTTATTATTATAATTATTCTCAAAAGATTATTGTTTTTGTCATTGTTAAATATATAGGCTATACTTTTTTCCTTCCTCAATGACTGTCAAGTTGGAGATTTTTTTTGTTTATTTTTTTTATTGTGAGCTACATCATATGTGTCCAAAAACAGAAGGATGAAATGCATCCGTAAAGTGTTACGAGCCCATATGGACTGCATCGGGACAAACGTACGGAGTGGTGATGGAGGTTCTCTAATCAGCATTTCCTGGTTTCCCAAGTATTCTGCTTGGCCACCAGTGACCGGCACCAGTATGAACACAGACTCTCACACAGGAAGAGCAGTGCACTCTGGGAATAGCTTGATGGAAATACGAGACGGTGGAGGAAAAATCCTCCCTTAGCTGGCACAAGATGCAGGCTCTTCCATGTTGTACATGTGGAATCAAGGGATCAGCGAAGCCTTTCATCATCGCCCTTTAGTTTCTCAGCCTTGCAGGACTCTTGGACTGAGCAGAGGCGCCTGACGCTGATTTGACTTCCAGTGCGGCGTTAGGTCCTCAAAGACTTTAACACATTAGTGTTTTCAACCATCAGTGTGAAATAGTGCAATATGATGGGCGCTTGATGCTCAAGCAAGACTGATATTGTGATTTAGACAGTTTTTCTTACCAATGTTTCAAAAATTTTATACCATCATATTTACAGAGCAAAGAAATGCTTTAGGGTAATATTGTATGACAAATCTGTACTAGTAATTCAAGGAATTTATTCTCTAGAGATTTGTTTGCAGATGACTCCATATTTGGAGAGCTCTGTGACTGGTAGATTATTGTACTTCGATAAAACAAACATAATATAGATTGAATGATAGCCTATGATTATCTCTTAACTGTGCTTCAGGATGTTTGTCATTACTCTCAGCTGTGTAGCGATGGGTAATAGAACCTCATGTCTTCTGTAACGATAGTGTTACTGTTTACTCAGCAGTATGTACCACCAGCCAATTTCATTGTCACTCAGAATTCCTCTGTCTAGCCCAATTCATACCTCAAGTTACGTGTGTTGAATACCCGACTGTATTACCTTGTCACAATGTTGTTTATTATGTTCTGTTTTATCACCTTTAAATGTACAGTTTTCACAGCACAACATGAATGTGACTTATTTCTAATAAAAAAAAAACACTTCTATCAAATATTGCGAAAGACTGTGTTTTTGACAACTGTTTTTTTTCCATAAATCTTGATGTTCCACTCCTCGGAAGCTGAACTCATCAGATATGTATACTCTTTTAAAGTCAATGTAGCTGTCTGATAGTGATTTTCTAAAACCCTGAAGGGAAGAAAAATAGCAGCACCTAAAAATAAAAGTTCACAAGTGAAATGACTGTCAAAACTGACAAAAGATTGTTGTAATAGGTGTAAAGTGAGAGAATTTTTAAACTCCTGCCACATTAGAGCTCTTTAAACCTGTGATACTCTAAATATAGATTTGATCAGCAGGAGAATAAAACAGTCATCTAGAAACATGATAAAAGCTAAATTCTCTTTTCTATTTCCAGGCTTCTCAGCGAGGTAAATCACTTCCAGGAAAGAAAAACAACTATTTATGAAAAAGAGCAATCAGAAAAGCAATTTTGACAAGACACAGAATGATATCCAAAGGTGGAACAGCTTAAATATATCTGTAGCCGCTTTATCTTTTGAATAATCTTTTCTTTTCTCTCCTCTCCATCAGTTCTAATTTTTAGTTTCAGCTGAACCAGAGCACCATCATTTTACCACAAGGCATAAGGAAAAAGGAGCATCACATTATCCATTTGTATCATGCTGCTCCCTTTGTGAGGTCGCCTGGAGAGCAGACCAACCTCTGAGCAAATGTTGTTTTACTGTAGGTGCCCATTTTCACTGCATTTTAATTAATTCATCACATGACATGCTCCATTTTCAGAATAATTGTATGCTCTCTGGAACATTTTGTGCTAATATATTTTCTCACCGCAAGTCATCAGTGTGAATGTCTGTGCAGGCTGTTGGTGATAATGATTCAGGGACCTAATGTTGGGAGACAATTTTTGCCGAAGTGTGGCCTCTCGTTCTATTTCTTTCATGTCACGAGCTGCAGATTATCGCAATCAGCGAGCAAGAGGACAGATTGTCAAAAAAAATTAACAGGAAAGTGTAAAAAACAAGGAAATACTTGGCTTACTTTTTGACGCAGAAAATAGTTGATAGTCTTGATACACAACACCATCATATAAGGATCATCTGGAAATAGCTGCAGAGCTTTTCCATTAGGACAATACAAATGTGGCACAGAACACACTCATATGAGATCCAAGTTAAAGTGGGAGGCATTGAAATAGGGATGTAGTTTTGGAATGGAAGAACAGAACTATTTGTAAATCTTATACACAAATACTCTATCCATCTTGAAATATGGAAACTATACCAAATGTTACAAATGAGATTAGGAGGGAATTAAAAAAAAAAGTTTATCACTGATTCAGCAGGGCTTTATGTATTTTATTTTGGGATTATGATGCTTCCTGGGTTTTTGGTTGGTATTAGGTCTGAACCACAAACGATCAATTCAGTACTACTTGTAGCTTTTCATTGTCCTGCTAGTTTATGAAGGATCCATCCATCCACTTTCCTAACCACTTATTCCCTAATGTGGTCAAGGGGGGAACTGGAGCCTTACCCAGAAGTCAATGGGCGAGAGGCGGGGTAAACCCTGGACACTCCACCAGTCCATCGCAAGGCCTCTATGAAAGCTCTTCTTTGAAAAAAACATCAAATCTGGAGTGGAGTGAATCTAGTTCTAAAACCATTGCGCACCTTTCAGCATTTATTGAGCCCGTCTAGATAATAAAGTTAGCAGTCACAATGCATCCCCATACAGTCAGAGGGTAAGGCTTCTGAACTGAGGGCTGATATGGAAGGTTCCTCTCCTCTTTTATCTGGATGCCATGTCCTGTAGATAGAACTTCAATTTTCAATTTGTGTGGCCACGGAACAGCTTTCGATTTTGCCTGAGTCTGCTGTAAATGAGTTTTAGCCGAGAGAAAAATTGCAGTGTTACTGGATCATGCTCACCTGTGGATTCTGCTCTTCGTGTGAAAGCTTTGACCTACATTTGTTGCTGGAGCTGTGAACTGTGATAACTGGCGATGACTTCTGAAAGTCTTCCTGAGCCTATGCAGTAACTTCTAGGACAAAATCGGGTGTGTTTTTAATGCGGTACTGCTTGAAGGCCCAGAGATAAAAAAGCTGCCAATGAAGTCCATGTCCCCTGCGCTCAGAAGTTATTCCAGATTCAATTAATCTTTTCATGATATCAAATATTGTAAAAGTCTTCTCAGTTCTTTATCTGCTAGAGGCAATAGAATTTAGATGAAACCATGGATATATGACCAGCTTGTAACACACATGAGCAGTGTGAACACAAATGATGAAATACAGAAAACTTCACATTTCCTAAAATGCACTGCATGAGGATGCAGTCTCTTGCAGTCAATCAGATTAATCTGATCTAATTAGTCACAGTAATTATATGCAGATGCATACACTGTCGCTCCAGACATGCTTGTTTGTTGATGTCAAAGGCAGATTTACAAGATAACAACCTGAAGCTATCAGTGATTGCTCACTTGTCAGAAACAAACACACACACACACACACACACACATCTGCTGGTTCTCATTCTCAGCCCCCACTCACACTGTAATCAAGTATCAATTAGGACTTTAATGGCTAGTAGCAAAATTGTGGCTGAGTATTATTTGAGAGGTATTACCATAGAAACAGGAAAAGATAATAATTAAGTTGATAAAAGATGAGAAGCTCTTTAAACTTCCGGAGAAGTGAAAGAGAATCTCTCTCTCTCTCTCTCTTTTCAATCCAGTAATGTCCTCTAAATCACTGCCAGCAGTACATGAAATTATCAAGTGTGAAGCAGGAAAGAGGTCTGCATATGAAATCTATTAAAATTGAGGAAATCAAATACAAGGACAGCTTTTTTTTATTCATTCAAGTTCACCTTTTTGTTGCCTCTGCATCTTACTTTTTAATACTTTTTCTCAAATCTTTACACAGATGTTCATCCAAAAGCAACTTTAGTGCAAAGTATCACTCCAGTCCGCATGCTCTGTGCTGCCGGGTTAGAGCACAATAAATAAAAAACTCCATTATGTAAGATTCAGCATATGAATACTGATTGAATATCTGGGATCCCTCAAAAAGAAAGCTCACAGTGTTCCTCACTCTTCTGAGTAAAATTGATTTTTTGTAACCTTCATTTAACAAATACAGGATAAGCAGAGTTGAAATGCAGATATCAGGTGCTTTTTAACAACATTTACAATGATTGAAGAGAGGTTCAAAATGAATGTCTCTCCTTATCAATGAAAACTGTGCAAATGGTTTTGTTTGTTCAGTGTTTTAAACTGTGGCACAACATGCCTTTCAGACTCAAACCCACTGGCTTGTCTCTTTCGATTACAAAAAACCTCTCAATCACACGGTTCTCAAGGAATCAGTACAGATATCAGGCATGATGAAAGGAGACGCCGAGGCTCAGAAATGTTATCTAACTACTACTTGAACTAGGGTACCCACTATGGATCAGCCTCACTCTGAAACACACACACATTCTCATTTTCTTGCACTTTTCTTCCTGATTAGTACTCATAAAGTCTCGTCCTGCAATGAAAAAGACCCCCTCCGATGTGACTTCTTTACCTATGAAAGGCAAAAAGCCAGGTATGGTGGATTGCAGCTGTGCTTGTGCGTCATGGCCAAATGTTGACACTCGCCTGAGTTTGGTTTCCTGGGGTATTTCTACTTTCTTATGGTATGCTAACCACAGGGACTGACCACACTAGTGAAGGCAAATGACTATCTTTAATGGGCATGCAAGTGAAAGGGACATTTTACTCTATAGAGTCACCTACACAGTATATATTTAGGCCCCACAAATTGAAATACAAAAAGGAAATCATGAGAGTAAAAAATAAAACCATATAATTTTTTCCCATGTTTGTTGCACCTAGGTTTTTATGATTTGAGTTCAGATAAAATGAATAGTTGAATGTTACTGTGGTTCTTTCCATTGCTCCTGTTGCTCATATTTTCATTCATTTTTTATTTATTTTTCATTCTAAAACCACAGATTCCTCATTGGGGATGACTGTGTGAGACAAGGCAAACATGCATGACTAATGTTTGTATACTTAATTAATTCATATTCATCTTGAAGAATGCATACTTTTGTCTAATCAGAGCTCATGCATCACCTTTCAGCACCTCAATGTATGTCAAGCTCCAAAATGAGCACAAAGGCAAGCCTTAAGAACAGCATTTCACAAACACATGGGTGATGTCATCTTAACATCATGCACGCTTTCCTCTATTTCATATACATGCTTCATGCCTTTTAGGATGTAGCCTATTTTAGTCCTATTATGTTTTTTAGTCCTTCAAGACATGTGCCAGGCTAGTTAGATAGCTCAATCTCCACTAATTATATACATGTAAAAGATCATAAGTGTGCATACTTTTTAGGAGCTTGGACTCTTTTTTATGTTTCTCCACGTCGGTTTCTTTCTTGCAGCATCATGATCTGAACCCACCAGTTTTTATCTGTTTAACTGAACAATCAGATTTTTAAATTGTGAAATCCTGCAGCTTGATTTGATTTTCACAAACAAACCAAAAAATGCACTCTGATTGTACAAACCTTCATGATTCAATAAGCACTGAGGAATGCTACAGTAGCACATCTCTGGGCTTGCCACAGTCGTACTGTTTCAAAAAACAACATGAAGAATTGGGTATAAGCCTCACATCTTAGTTGTTTTACCAAATGGGCCATTTCTTTTTTTTAATCTTGCTTAGTCGTGTGTAATTTGGACAGGGAATGTCTGCAAAGGTTTTTTTTTTCCAAAAGACCCTGTATGTTCAGAACACAAAGAATCTGGACACCTATATCACTCCTGGTGGTCACCATAGCAACAGTGGCTGCATTCAGACAGCTCATGAGGGCTATTAACAATTGTGCTTCAGCTCCAGCAGACCCTGTGAAATGAATAAGCCAAAGACACAAAAAAGAAACCAGGAGCTAGGCAGGGCTTGCTCTTTACAAAATGTCATAGTTGGCATTTCACCAACTTTCAGTTCTCATCCAGTCGGATAAATGTAAGTTATTTGGTCACTGAATTTAGGATCACTTACAACTAGTGCACAAACACATCACAGCTAAGAGTAGATGATCCATAGTTTAAAAAGTCAACTAAGCTAAAGAGGGGATAAATGAGAAAATGTTAAATGTGCAGCTAAAATTAGGTTACCAATTTATTCCACTTGAAATATGCATGGCATTTTAAACAACTTAGACCTAGGTCATTGGAAGTTCAATGGAAATACATTTGAAACATTTTACTCTTTAAATATTAGTTTGAACTGGAGATAGTTTGATAGTCTTAGGACAGCATTCGTCACTAATATTCTACAATGATGGTCATGTTGATTGAATTGATGTGGTAGCTTTCACAATTGTGCTTCGAAAGATGAGGCTTTTAGAAAAGGATGTCATTTTGGACACTTTATATGGGGCTCATTTACCTCAACCTTATTTCTCAATCCTCAGCTGAAGGTTCATTTACAGAGCCATCTCGGTCTGTTTTTTCAAGCAGATGTGAGCACATTTTTGATTAGCCACATATTTCATTAAATTATTGATGCCCGGTTTGAAGGAAGCAAATTATTAGGTCACACGTTATACTCAAACTTGTGGATTTACAAAAGCCTGCAGCAAAAAGGCTCTTAGTGGTGCAATGTAAGTGAAATTTGGAATTTGCATGACACAGAAATGCAGAATGGCTATGATGAATGTAAAGAAAGCCCTAACAGGCAGAGACGATGAAACAAAGCTGTTCTCGCAGGTGCATTGTGTCGCATCTTCTCCGTATGACCTTACTCTGTCTCTGCGCGGGCTGAGAGCTGTTGCCAGGATACTACTTCCTATTGCAACACTTGAGCCACTGAGGTGAGCAGCTCTGAAAGCATTCAGGTAACTGGCTGCTCTGTATCCCGTGGACCGGAAGTCCATACATGGCCGAGGAGAAACTCTCACATCCAGGGACCGTTGCACCAGCAGCTGCTGTGTGCCTCAGCAGCTGCTGAGATTTTCCCCTAAACATCAAATCTATCTGGTCAAAGCAAATCATTGCATGTTAAAATCTATGCATATTTGTTTCACCATAGTACATTATGCAGTAATCTTAGCTGTTTTGCAGCATTAGTATGTAGTCAAAAAAGGACTCCTGTATGGAACGAAGATGAGAACAATACTTGCTGGGGGTCATTAAATGATTGCTTGGCTCTTCATACATATGCATCAATACTGGAAAAACGTTGAATTCTTCTGAATGTTTGAAACCCTAATCACTCAGTGACTGGAATGTTAGCTTTGGTCACTTATACATCTGCCCAAAACTTACTTTAATAAGCATCGTTGCATTGTTGTTGCACAAGAGATTGTATCTGCAAGGTTTCCTGCATAAATAAAACATAATCACCAAAAACCACAGTGGACAGTTTAATTTATTTTCATTTGCAAAGGGCAGCAGATGCTCTCCGTCTGAATGAGTGCATACTGCCACCATTTGATACACAGGTGTTACTACCTCACATGCCACATGCTACTTCCGGTCACCTGTTTGGAAGTCACAGAGGTGAAGTCCACATTTAATTGAAAAAAGCACATAGATTGTATTTACTTCTTTTAAAGAAATTGAATAAAAGTTTATCTGAAAAAAACTAAAACTGTATGACTCATTGTGCTCTCTCTTGCTTTACCTCTGAGCTGTACACAAACCTTCATCCCTTGTCGTCTTTATGTTTCCGCCCTCTGCATTTAAAAACCAAGGATGCAAGCTCCTCCACATCATCCCTGTCAGTGCTGAACCAAAGAGATTGACAGGATGTAGCACGTCATCACAACGCCAACACTCCTGTTGACCCTCACCTCTGCTGAATTCTGCTGTTGAAAAGGGGATTGTCGGGGATGTGAGCTCATACTGCTCTGTGCTGGGGTAAGCTTTGTCGGGCGGCAGGGAGCTCTTCATCAATGGAACTCCATTATGACTCATCTTTGCTGAACACCCACCTCGTCTATCTCACTGCAAAGCCTTCTTTTGTACTGCTGTGAGTGTCTCATCCAGCACTTGAGAAATGAGCACCCTCTGTTTCTAACTTGTGCTGATCACAAACCTTTGTGTAGCTGCATCAAACAGGAGCACAAATATGTCATAAATAAAAATAACCCGTTTCCTACTTATATTGTGCAGAAAGAATAAAGTTCTCCCTTTGTCAGTTCCAAGATTTGTCATGTGAAGACATGATAAATCATTTTATCCTAAATAATATGAAGGCTCCTCGCAGATGGACAACATCCTGCATGTATTCCATTCTGCTTGCACAGTCAATTGAAGGACAAGTTGCAGCCAGGTGCTGCCAGATAAATGCACTTGGTGAAACACGTGTCCTGCTCAATTGTGTTAAAGTGTGTTCATGTGGAGGCAAATGAAACAACAAGGCAGAGTTCTTCTATAGCTCTTATATCGTTTTTATGTTTTCACATTGCATTTAATTTTCATCTATGTGTACATATAAAGACAATTTATTTATGAACCTTAACTCCACTGTCCTTCAGCACAATTAAGCTTTTTATTCTTCTCTATGATAATCAGAACGTCTATAAAATCTAAAGCTTTGGTAGTTTGAAGCTCTGGCCAAACAAATGATGACTAAAGTGCATGTTTGTTCATAATACAGGCAAGCAAATGTGGAGAAAAACAAGCACGTTTGGTTTTCTTCAGCTCAAAGCAGCCTTGCACCCTTCAATCAAACACAGATTGAAGGGTGTGATTTAGGCATCTAAAGTATTCAAGAGTCAGAGAAATGTGAGGGGCAGGTTGTCAAACAGTTGAAACTGGGTCACAGAACAGAATATTTTTCCCCAGACATTGCAGAAAATCTTCCAAAAATTTATGAAAAAGTGTAAAATGAAGGAGTCAAAGTCCGGACCTGAATTTGACTGAAATATTGTGGTGGGACAGAGTTTAGCATGCAGCTATTCTCAATAAACTGAAGCAAAGCTGTCCAGGGAACTGCTCAAAATTCCTCCATGATGATCTGAGAAACTCACGGCATCATTCACAAAAGTACCTAGAGCAGCTGAAGATAAAGGTGATTTTACAGGTTACAGAGTGTACTAAGCTTTTCATGCACTAGGGCTTTGTGTCGTTGTTAGAACAATACATTTCTCCCTTGTCTCAAATAAGCTTCAACTGGAATTTATTTTCTTATAATTGGATATTTTTTATCTCTCTTCATTCAGTTCGTTGGAGCTTCTTAAAATGCATTTTATACATATGTTACAATGTGCTTTTTGATTGTTTCTTTAGCTGCCTGATGAGCTATACAGAGCCAGGACAAAGGGAGTTCGAATCCCCAGCTGCTGATGTCATGGTGCAGTCCTCTCCTTTCACCACGGGGTGGCAGCATGGAGCCTAAACGCCATTGTAACCACGCCCACTCCATACGTTTTCCTCAAATTTCCGCATATTGTACCACAATAGTTGGACAGGTTAAGCTGATCCACACAGCGTTGCCTGGCTTTTTCTTGCTGTTGCGTTCACTGACTTTGACATGTCGAGACTTTTCCTGAGCGCAAACCTGCGGAGATGCATCGTCTCTCAGATCAGGATGGGGTCTGATCAGGTAAACTTTGGAGAAGTGATGACAGTTCTGCTCTTAGCATTAGCTTGCTACTAACTACCCCCACACATGTTTGGTCATGCAAGGCCAGCTGGTTAGATAGTTGGTAACCTCTTTTCCAGTTGTGGGTTATTGTATTTAGCATGGTCAGTTATGGCTCTTAAAACGTGTTCAAATCTCCATCAGAGAACTGCTACATGCTAAAAAAAAAACACCAATGAAACATTTACAGGCAGGCTTTTTTATTCATCGTTTTTTGCTTCAGGGAGGTGTTAAAGGTTGGGGGTTGGGGCCCTTCGTTGACTATGGCCTCACTGCAAAACAAAAGCTTTTAGACGATCTGCTCATTCATAGATGAACCAGGCGACGTTTATATCTCTAAACTTTTTACTTATTGCAAACGCAAGGTTAAAATAATCGAACCTTGTGATATTACCCATTGATGTGACAGAAAAATGATCTATATAACGGATCTGAAAATGTGTTTTAGCATTAATATGTCCAGTTCTTCCTCAAAGACAAACATAAAAAACATTTTATTAGAATATTTAATAAAATGCAACATAGAACAGTTTTCCTTGGGGGGTGGGCAGCATTCATTGGGCCAGACTTTTACACAAATCACTGTATTAAATATACTTGTAAAATCATTATGATGCTAAATTAAATGGTGTGAAATATTTCTGTGTACGTCAGGTTGGTGAGCTGGGTAAGGGGGCAGGGCGAGGGGGAGGTGGAGGAGGCTCTGTGAGGGAGGCAGGAGGAGCACTGGGAAAGCGCGCAGCAGCTGAGGAGGAGCGGTACTTCAGGTGAGGCAGGCCACACGATTGGGGGTAAAATAACCCATGAAAAACGATGCCAGTGTCTTCAGTTTTCCCTTTAACCATCTGAATGCCGTGTTTGCCTGCAGGCAGAGGGAGCGGGAGCAGCTGGAGGCCCTCAGAAAGCATCACCAAGAGGAGATCGATCACCACAAAAAAGAGATTGAGCGCCTACAAAAAGAGATCGACCGCCACAAGGGAAAGATCAGAAAGCTTCAGCATGATGACTGAGGCGGGGAGGCTGCCACCATTCCTCCTTCTCAGAGTGCAGTCACACAAGTCAGTGGTTGTCACATTGTTGTTTTTTCTGGTCGAGGCTGGTCCCAGGGTCGTGACACTTCAAGCTGACAGTGATGTGTCGGAGAAAACAATAAAGCAGTCGATTTTCTTCTGTTGTCAAATTGTCATTTGTTCACTCAGGGTGATTGTAGGGCAATAATGCTAAACCCAGTAAGTAGTATAATGATGGGCTATAATCATGTCAGATTTTCTTTTTTCTTTGATACTTGAATGGTGCCAAAAGTATCTAATGTGTTCATGTTCCTCTTGATTAAAGCTTATCAGGCTTAGAAGAAATGCTTTAGGGAACTTTGAAATCATGTCCAAGATTCGCTACCTCCAAACAAAAAAGTTCCTATTGTAGTAGTATACACAATAACTAAAGTAAACATACTGTTAATGGTTAAACCAGTGCTTTTTGGCCACTGACACAAATGGGCTTGTGTAGGTCAAATTTCAAAGAACTGAGGTCTCTGCCGGAGTTGGTATTGATGTTTGTGTTTTGTTTTTCTTAAATTTAAAACATTTCTTTTTAGTGAATACTGTCGGGTTAATATTTCAGAATTAATATTTGATATAGTAATCATTTCCACTTGGCTTCAGTTGGTGGAAAACTGCAGAAAATGCAGACAGACTTGGTTCAAATAAACTGCAGCTGCTCACTCAGCTGTCAGGCATCAGTCAAAGACACGACTGGTGCTTTTTATTTTTGTTTGAGCTGCATTTTTCTGCCCATGTACTTTTGAGTGAGCTTTTTTTAAAACCTGTTTTGTATATTATATAAAAACATGATACATGTACCGCTTCTCTTCAAAAGATTCTACTAGGTTTTAACATAAAACCTAAAGGAAACAACAAAATGACTAACGAGATATAAAATGATCACACACCATTTTTACTTAGGGCATAAACGTAATGAAAGATGACATCTTCAGATATACTTAATCTAATGAGACACAGAAAGCATAATAAAACGTTGTTTTCTACTCAAATCAATGATAGAATGAAAACCAATACCATGTGCATATGAAATTGGTACATACAAATTTAATTTTACATTATTTAAAGAAGAGATAACTCAGCATTGGTTTTAGATTGAGGATATCTACTTGTGCAGACTACAGAACGAAAAGATCCAGCGATCCTTTACACATATGTAACCGCGGATCTGTTGTGTCACCATTTACCCAGTAAATTAGATCGAGTAAAGCCAATGCACCATAATGGGTTTAACATTCCTCCAAAGACGCCTATTTTGGCGAACTCGATAGTCACCTTTGGTGAGTTCTCGTTCAGATCTCGCGATGATTATTGAGCGGTGGCGTTGTTCGGGCGAGCCGACGACGAGACCGTTGGTGTCTGGAAATTGTCTCGTGGGCTTGTCGCAAACATTCTTCTTATTTTTGCATCTTTGTCCTTCGGCCAATTTGATCGATTCACTTTTTAAAACACGTCACAGTTAGTTTCCCGAATTACACCGGTAAGTCTTGCTAACTATCTGTTTGCACCTTATACGGCGCTCGTGTTTGATTTGTGAGGGGTGCCTGTCTGCACGACGAGGCCTTCTAGCTAGCAAGACCGAAAGCTAACAAATAGGATTGTTTAATCAGAAAGGAGAAACGAATGTTTAGATATTAAATTTGCTCTGAAAAAATACTGCAGAACTTATCCTATACTAAAACTATTGAGTAAAGACCGTTTCTTGTGAATATTGCAAAGACACATATTCGTTCCGCTAGCTAGCAGGCTGCATGTGAAGGGGGCGGGACTGTGGCGCTCGCTTTCTCCAACTGACCGGTTTAGTTTAGCTCAGAATACATACAGGTTTTCCTGTCATGACAATCAGGGATTATTTATAACTATTTCCAATGCTATATTTATTTAGGATCATACGTTTTGTCCTTGACAATATTCCAAATGACAACAATGGTTGTAATCACACGCACCACATGTCTTTTATGGGACAATATTTTTAGCTTTTGGTGGATAGATTTTACTATCAGAAATAAAAATGCTATTTCAAGTGCTATATTAGTAGTGCTGGTGCTTGCTTGTAATCCCTGGGATAATAAAAAGGGGACACATGTCTTTCTTTATTGCTGTATTACAGAAGTATGGCTGCTGCTGAGGTGAACGGTAGTTCTGCCCCAGTAAAGGAGGAGGAAGAGCCCATGGATATCACAGCAACACACACAGATGACTACCAGACACTAATTGATGCCGGGCTGCCGCAGAAAGTAGCTGAAAGTCTAGATAACATCTTCCAAACAGGTGGAATACTTTTGCTCTGTATCAAAAAAGCCAAGGTGTGTATATTTGGTGTTCGCCATAACAGATGCTGATGAAGGATTTTTTTGCCCACAGGCTTGGTATCGTATGTTGACCTGGACGAAAGGGCTATTGATGCACTGCGTGAGTTCAATGAAGAAGGAGCCCTTACTGTGCTGCAGCAGTTCAAAGAGAGTGACCTGTCCCATGTGCAGGTAGTTTGGCCCTTCAGAGGAGAGTTATGGTTAGCAGGAAACCAACACATAATAATATATATTTTTTCTTTTCTTTTTTTAAATGTAGAATAAAAGTGCGTTCCTTTGCGGCGTCATGAAGACATACCGACAGAGAGAAAAACAAGGAAGCAAGGTACAAGAATCCACTAAAGGCCCGGATGAGGCCAAAATAAAGGTAAGCGGTCGCGTGGCTAAGATTTCTTTAATACATTTTTCGGTTTGATTAACATTTTTACTTGTTTTGCAGGCTCTATTGGAACGGACAGGATACACCCTGGATGTCACTACAGGACAAAGAAAATATGGAGGCCCCCCACCTGAGAATGTTTTCAAAGGAATACAACCTGGGATCGGAACTGAGGTAGAGAAGCAAAAAATACAGTTCTTACTTGTTGTGATCTGATTTATAGAAATGGATCGTCAAATATAAAGTCAGTGCTGAAATGTAAGTAGGATTTATATGACAAATATATATCAATGCACAGGTGTCAATTCTGCTCACCACATGAATGATACTGTTTAGTTTTGTTGCACAAACCTTAAACTCACCTGTGTTTCTTTTTTTTTAAGGTGTTTGTTGGAAAAATCCCAAGGGATTTGTATGAGGATGAGCTTGTGCCACTCTTTGAGTCTGCTGGTCCCATATGGGACCTCAGGTTAATGATGGACCCCCTTTCCGGTCAGAACAGGGGTTATGCCTTCATCACATACTGCAATAAGGATGATGCACAAAAGGCTGTGAAGCTTGTAAGTAGTTTTGTGGGGTTAGAATAAACGTGAAGTTTACGTTGAATGCATTTGAAGGCCTTTGCAGTTAAAAAAATGGGCCAACAATTTGCACTCAAGACTTTTGTTTTTCCATTGCAGAAATAAGTGATTCAAATATGAATCCCTTTAGATTTAGGATCATTTTGTGACAGTTCTGGTTAGCATATGTCTCAGATTTGAACTGTTTTGCCTAATTTTCAGTGTGATAACCATGAAATCCGCCCTGGCAAGTACTTGGGAGTATGTATATCTGTTGCAAACAATCGCTTGTTTGTCGGATCAATTCCAAAAAACAAGACAAGAGAAAGTATACTGGAAGACTTTGGAAAAGTCACAGGTTTGTTTTAAGTGCACATGCTTACATTTAATGTGGAAACTTTTTTTGATGACTTGTTAAAACACGGTTGCTTTATCTGACAGAGGGTCTCCAGGAGGTGATATTGTACCACCAGCCAGATGACAAGAAGAAGAACCGGGGCTTCTGTTTCCTGGAGTATGAGGACCACAAATCTGCTGCGCAGGCACGCCGTCGCCTGATGAGTGGGAAGGTGAAAGTGTGGGGGAACCCTGTCACTGTGGAGTGGGCCGACCCCGTTGCTGAGCCAGACCCCGAGGTCATGGCAAAGGTAAGCTGTTCCCATCTCATTTCTTATAAGCCCCTCCACTGCCCTGGGCTCTGTGTGGATTTAAACGCCCCGCCTCTGTGTCCCTAAAGGTAAAGGTGCTGTTTGTGAGGAAACTGGCGACAGCGGTGACTGAGGAACTCCTCGAGAAGACCTTTTCACAGTTCGGAAAACTGGAGCGAGTGAAGAAGTTGAAAGACTACGCTTTTGTTCACTTTGAGGAGCGGGACGCAGCAGTAAAGGTGGGTCCATCACCACGCGGTCACCGCTCGTGTCTGCGCGCTGTGCATTTTATGTGTCGCATCAACGGGGTGTGTGCTCGGTCAGGCTATGGACGAGATGAACGGGAAGGAGCTGGGAGGAGAGGAAATCGAGATCGTCCTGGCCAAGCCCCCAGATAAGAAGCGAAAAGAGCGCCAAGCAGCCCGGCAGACCACCAGGAATGCAGGGTGAGTCCGAGAGGCGCGAGCGCCCAGCCACACGCGGGATCCTGCTGTAGGGAACCGGATAGATGTAACGCTGTCTTGTCCTCTGTAGATACGACGACTACTATTATTACCCACCTCCTCGCATGCCACCACCTGGTAGAGGCAGGGGCCGCGGTGGCCGAGGGGGCTATTCCTATCCACCCGATTACTATGGCTATGAGGACTACTATGATGACTACTATGGCTATGACTATCACGACTACCGGGGTGGCTATGAGGACCCTTACTACGGTTACGAAGACGTGTACAGCATGAGGGGCCGGGGCACTCGTCCCTCCAGGGGAGGGCCTCCTCCGCCAAGGGCTCGTGGGGCTCCGCCAGCCAGGGGCCGTGGTGGCTACGCCCAAAGAGGACCACCCCTCGGTGGTCCGAGGGGAGGCCGAGGGGGGCGCGGAGCCCCTTTCCAGCCTCAGAGGGGCCGCGGCCCTCGTGGTGCCAGAGGCAATCGCGGGGGAAACGTCGGCGGAAAGAGGAAGGCAGACGTGTTTAACCAGCCTGACTCCAAGCGCCGCCAGACCAACAACCAGCAGAACTGGGGGTCCCAGCCCATCGCCCAGCAGCCTCTGCAGCAAGGGGCCGACTATTCCGGTAACTATGGTTACAGTAATGACACCATGGAGTTTTCACAGGATTCTTATGGGCAGCAGTGGAAGTAGATGCACCAAAGGGTATTTGGAAGCAAAAAAAAAGAGAAAAACAACAATAAAAAGAAAAAAAAACAGGAGATTGGCCACAATTTTTTGATTGACTTTTTATTCTTCGTCCCTCGTGAAAAAAAAATCTGTACATATCCCAGAAAAAATGGACAGACCGCTGAATTGGCTCAAGATGATTGGCTGGAAATCCTTTTGGCTGAAGAAAATGAACGTAACCGTTGTGGTCATTTCATGCTCCTGCGGTTACATTGGGACATGTCTTTAAAAAGAAAAAAACACTCGCAAACACACAAAAAACACTTTTACTGTTACTTTTTGTTCCTGGTTCTTTTAAAGCGAACAACGAACCTTTACAACAAAAAAAAAAGAAAGAAAGTGGACATTCATTCTTTAAATGAACATTAAATAATGATTATTGCCTTGCAGGAAGTTTTTGTCCATGCCCTCATCCTCCCCTCCCCTTCTTGTACTTCCTATATTTGTGGTTTCTCATAGTTGCTTAGGGACTTGCTTGTAAATAAATGCTCATGGTTAGGGCTTCATACTTCATTTTTTGCTATGGTGGAGAAAAGAATCCACAGGAAGGAAGAAAATCAAAGTTTTGTAATGTTCAAATTGTATGCCTAGCATTTCTAGAAATAGACAAATTGTGTTTTCTTTTTTATTTTAACTGATACCATAACTTCCTTGTTTTCTTTAAACTTGCCCAGTAGAATTTGGTTTGGCTTACCTTAAAAGCCATAGCAGTTTGTTCTCTGATGTTCTTTGTATTTATAACTTTTACGTTTGTTCCGTTTCAATAAAACTCAGCTGAGCATCAGTCAATTGTCAAATATTCAAATTCAGTGTTGTCCTTCAGTATTTGATTTGATCTCAATTCTCACATTGGAAGCGTTATTTCTTTTTTCCCCTTAAAGGAGAAGCGCAAAAGACTGAAATTGTGCAATCAGACAACGACACAAGAGAACTTAAAAGGTGTCTGGATGATCAAGCAGGACTTTAACCCTTTACTCTTCAGACTGCAGCGTTTTATGTTTCTTTGTTTTTTAACTTCAGAATTGTTGCTTAGTGTTCCAGCAAAACTGCCAACCATGAAAGGACCAAAATCAGACTCCTTACCATTCCCCAAGGTTGTTCGCATCTACCAAACACGAGTAAATGTCAGCCCTGCTTCCACAAACTCTCAGCCAGTCACCACAAAGGCAAGAAAAGCACTTTTTACCACACACATTTTGGAAGCTTCAGATTTTGATCATTTTCTGTTTCTTTAGAATACCAAAGGTTTACTTGGTGTTTATTGATCCAGGCTGACATCCAGTGGAGCTCTTACTCCCATCGCTCTCACATAAACTTAAAGACGAGAACAAGTTTGGCAAATGGTGAGAAGTTGCTCGGCCTGAATAACCCTGATAGACGTCCAGTTAGAGCGGCGCAGTTGACCTGGAATGGAGTTCTGCTTGTATTGCAAGTTGTTTCCGCTTAATTTTGTTGCTTCCAAAATCAGCACCTCTCTGCTTTTGAAGACGCCAAGGATCTGGCCATCCAAAAGGATAAAATTCTTAAAACCTGCCTTCACACATAGCAAGCTGTCACTTGTGTAAATCTGTAAATAGAGGATTGTTTTTAGCCTTTACGTGTTGGTGCCATGCTATCGCTGTCTTTTGTTTCATGTGTCTGTCCTCTTATTCCAACCTGCCTAGGTGGAGATGCATTGAGAGCGGCACCACTAGCATGAGGAACTCACCTGAACGGTACTCAAGGGTGAGCTAGCCTTGCACAGAGTACTGTCTCCTCTCCTGTAGCTAATTGTAATCTCTGGGGAAGCAGAAGACATTATAATCTACTGTTCTTTTCACATTTTTATACTTTCTCATATTCTTTTCTGTAAATCAGCCTTTCTATTTTTCCTTTTTTTTGGGAATGAGAGATTCACATTTTTCTAGGCAGAGAAGAAGTCACCAGAGTGGGACTCAGTGGAGATGTTGCTTCCAGCATGCTTCAGCAGTTAAGAAAAAAATAGAAACGGAGCTTGTTTCCTCATAGAGAAAGGTGCACATTGCTCATCTAAAAGCAAAAAAAAAAAAAAAGATAAATGGTCATGCACGTTTTTAGACTCAAATTCTTATATTTTAAAACCAGATAAGAAAAAACGAGGCACGCAGTCAAAGATTCGGATAGTGCCATATTTAGAAACCGTGCGCACACGTGCTGCACGTCTTGGCTCCCTGCACCAAAATCATGTCGGCTGCCTGGTGGAGGAGTTCTGGAGACTTCCCGTCTTCTGCCACTAGAGGTAGCAGCAACACACCAGTGCGACTCCACATCTATTGTTTCGTTAATGAAGGCTGCCGCCTATGTCCACGTTCAGGGCTGACCGGGAGTCCACTCGCAGCTGCATATTAACCAGAGGAGCTGCTTTTTGAGTGCGTGCAGAAAGCACTGGGAAATGTACATGGCATATGATTGAAATTGGCTAATTTAGGAACAAAGGCTGCGCCTCACATCTACTGTTTTTACTCTTTTTAGCCACAAGATGGCAGTAGGAGAACGGCCC